CATTTTCTTTAATGCTGATTTAGTACCTCCATTTATTCATTCATTCAAATGTCAACATATCTGTGAAGCATCTTGACCAATGGCGGGCTCTGTGTTAGGTACTATGGGTGATGTACATAAAGTGCTCAAAATGTGCCTGCCACATAATTAGCATACTGTATATTGCTTATTAAAGAAATTAAGTAGATGAAATGAGTCATGATCCCTGGAAGTTATGCTGGTGGACTGCATCTTAGTTTCTGCATCTCTAAAATGGGAGAATAGTACTCCTCACCACCCAGCGTCATTGTAAAGACTAAATCACATGGGTGAGATGGGTGAGTCAGGTTCTTGTCATGGCCACTGGCACACTGTGGGGCCTCCAGAAACGCCTGACGAGGTGAGCAAATAACTGTGTGTGAAAGACTGAATGAAGGGTTGAGTGCATGGAAATAAATAAGTGGCCGAGGAACTGAATGGCATTCCACTCCCTACTTGCATATCTTCCCAGTCACTGCCGGGTATGCTGACCTTGCTTCCAGCTGCCCCAGGGGCCTCCTGCCACTCTTCTCTGTAGATGGCAGCTTCATCAGTCCTCACCCCTGGCTTCCAGGCTCCAGGGCCTGCTTGGCCCTTTGCCTGCTCACCCCTAGTCTGAGAAGGGACAGAGTGGAAGGGCTTTGGAAACAAGTACACCTGAGTTCAAATCCCAGCCCATCACTGTGACTTGGGCAAGCTGCCCATCCTTTCTCAACCTCCATTGTTTTCTCATTTGTAAAATGCAGACAAAAACACTTAGGACTATTTTGAGAATTAATGTGTAGAAAGTAGATGAAACATAGAAGGCACTTATTATATGCCTGTCAAAAGACTCCTGCAGATCACGGTTCAATTCTGGATGACCAATTCAGAAACCCAGTTCTGGAAACCCTGAGAACGTCCATTTGAATTCAGCCCCCTTTGTGTTCTGCAGGAAGAAAAGCAAAAAACATTTATGCTGTTTTATAAGCCACCAAAGCTTCTGATTTTTCTCTGCATCAGACATCCAAGCTATCTCTTCAGCCTCCGTTTCTCCTGCAGTTTCTGCCTGGAAAGAGCATAATGGCCTATTGCCTTCCTTTTGGGTTGGTTGGCCTATAAGAATTACAATTCATCTCTTTGTCCATTCAGCCTTCTATCTGCCATTCCATCCAGGCACGCATTCACCCAGTTCAGAGGAGTAGAGGCAGGCGAGAGTTGCTGCAGTATGATCCGTGAGGGGTGAGGAGTCCAGGGCCTATATTAGAGAACTGCATTCTCCAAGAGTGATTTGCTGATTGCAGCAGCATCCCTTGCAGAGGGCAGGGCCCCATTCAGTCTGCTGAAATAGAAACTCTGGGGCTGAATCCTACACCTTAAACCAGCACCCCAGTGGTTCTTATGCAACCTAAGTTTAAGAAATACTCACTGTGTCATGGAGAAATTTCAATATCCTTGCAAGCAGTTCAGACATTATCCTTTTAGATAATCCTCAAGAATTAGCTGGGAGACTTGATGGAGATGTGCAGAACTTGGCTTATAAGGGAATTGAATCATTTATGGTCATTTGAAAACCATCGCACATTCATCTAACAGAATGCGAAATCTGTACAGAGGCGCTGTTTGGTTGCTGAGGATGTATCAGGGCCAGGACAGATGGGCTCCCTGCCTTCAGGAGGCTACCAATCTCATGAAGAGAGACGGTGAACACCCACACACATAGCTCAATGAGGCTTTCTCTTGGAACCATTAGTGCTGTGAAGAAAATACAGGGAGACAGAAGTCGACTGAGGTTGAGGGCTGCCTTGGCATGGTGCATACAGAAGGCCTCTCTGAGGCACATTTGACTTGAGCCCTGAATGACAAGAAGGAGCCAACCTCGCAAGGATAGTGGAAATGAATATTAGGCAAATGGAATGGCAAGGGCAGAGGCCCAGAGATGCATACACCTTTGAAATGTACAAGGGACACATAGAAGGCTGGGGTGGTTATAGCCTGGAAAACCAGGGAGCAGGAAATAGGAGAGGAGGTCACAGAAGTCAGCCCTGAGCACTGCAGGGCATGCAGTTTTTATGCTAATGGTCTCAGTAAAGCCCATTTCTGCAGCTGTGTGGGGGAGGGGGAACAGAGCCTTCTACCAAATGGCCTTCCATGCATTGGCTTCTCTGACAGACCCTCTGAAATTTGCCCAAGCGGAAAATCCTACTGCTGGAAAGGAAACCCCAGCTCTGACTTCCTACCTCGTGGGATTAGATTTTCCAGGATTGCTTGCTCACTCTAGCCAGAGGCCAGAGAGCCCCGTGAGGCCACGGTGGCCTGCCTCCAGAGCAGTTACTCTGAAATCTTGTCTGTAAAGGTGATCTCAGTTAAAAACCTAGCCTTGCTCTGACACCAGACATAATCTCATTGTTTTAAAAGTTGCGAAAATGTTGTTTCTATGAACCTACTGCTTCTGAAAGCTAGCAAGCTCGTAAATAAGAATTAAGAGTAGTAGAGAAATTAGTCAAGGTGTTTATTCATTTATTTAACAAACTCAAGAAGCTGATCCTGAGGTCCCCAAGGATTTCTATGTTGCTCAATGCAGTGGTCACTTTTCAGAACTCATTTCACTGCATGTCCAAGCAGAATTTTATATAGGGGACTACTTCTGTTTTCCTATTTTCTTTCGGTTTTTCTCCGCCACACTCTCCTACCGGTAGTATACTCAGCCACCCTAGTTTATCCTTACAAGACTCCTTTGAACGCATTTAGTCGCAGGTGCGGCCTCTTAAAAGGTTGATGTTCCTTCGGGCTTAAATGTGATGCAGCCAGTGATGAACAAAAGGCACGAACAGGATGTTATGGGAGCACTTCATCCAAAGCAGGGTTCAGAGAGTCATCTAGTTCAGAGGGGGTGACACCCAACTGAAAGGAGACAGGACAGCCAGAGTGAAGACTCAGAGGCTTGCATGGCATGGCGTGCAGATTTCGTGATTGTAGAGCAAGATGTTTATGACAAGAGGCTGCAGAAAATAAGAGTAGAAAGGTAACCAGGTGGAGGTTGGTGAAGTCTTTTCTCCCCTATAACTATGATAAGACGTTGAAATGTTTTAAACTGAAGATACACATGTTTTGTACTTTAGAACGACCCCTTTGGCTATGGTGTAAAGGATAGTGTTAAGGGGGTGAGAGACTCAGGCAGCGTTACAGTCAAATGGCCCGTGGAATAACCCAGGCAAGGGATAATGTGGCTTGGCCTAAAGTGATGGCAACAGAAACAGAGGGGCAGTGGCTTCTAGTGGGCAGATGTGAGAAACAGGTGGTGAAGTTGTTAGACAGGGATTGCTGAATGAGGTGAGCAGGTACCTGAATGAAGTCCTGCTTTAGGAAAGCACAAAGAGGTAGATTGCAGAACATAGACACTTTGTCTTTAGCCAAACTTACATGACTCTTCTCTTTAATCTTAAGACTTAAACCTCTCTTTATGAAACGTCTAGACTGAAAAAGGCCTCAGTGTTTCTCAAAACTCTTCTTCCTAGAGATGTGGACACTCAGGCTCACAAAAGGGTAAGTTACCTGAAGCCATATCGCTCTTCACTCCTATTCCCTCTTCACTCCTATTCTCTCTTCACTCCTATTCCCTACACCACATTTGACCTCTAAAAATGACCAGGTCACTGCAGTTTCCTGTTTCCCCACATGAGGTCCTTACCTGAAGATACTGGTCTTAAAAACACAGCTGCAGTGCTACATATTTCTTTTTCTTTATTTACAATTGTTTTAGCCTTTTTCTGTAATTGGCTTTAAGAACTAGCACTTGAAGGCAACAAAACACCAGGGGAGGTTTGGGATTTTCTTAACCCTGTTGGATCTGGAGCACTGATAACCCCACCACCCCCAGCCAGCTCTGTCTGTCTTATTTAACTAAAAGTTTTCAACAGCTGTTAGGTACCTGAACTGAACTTGCATCAGAGGAAATTAGAAAACACTCCAATAAAGTATACCCTACTTCACTCCTTGTGTCTTCATGATGAAGTTTTCCTCCCAATTTGGGGTGGGGTGTTGGGAAGAAATAAAAGTCTTGAGGTGCTAAATGCTCCATTAAGTGAGTGTAAAATGGGATGGGTTTATGTTTCTGCCCACCAGCTGCATTTATCTTAATTTCAGGGAGCTCCAATTTCAGGGAGTTGGTATCTAGGTAACCCTTGATATTCCTAAGAGGAGAGGGAATCAATGTAGGAAGGTTTGAACAACTTTTCCCAAAGTAGACCAAGCAGATGCCCTCAATAGCTCAGCCTCAGAACTTCCAAAGGAGTTGCCACTGTAGTGGTTAAGAATGAGAGACTTGCAGTTCACCTTCACAAATTTAAATCTTGTCTCTACTGTTGTGTAATCTGGCATGTTACCCAACTTCTCTGTAACTTACTTTACTCATCTGTAAGATGGGGATAATCATGCCTGCACTATAGGATCATTTAAACGAGCTATGTAAACAAGGCAATTCATATAAGCACTTAGTATAGTGCTTGGCACCTAGTGGGTGTTCAGTCTGTTCTTCGCTGCTGCCGTAAGCGACTTCCACTGGAACCAGGGAATGAAGAAGTGGTTTGTTAACAACCGGCCCAGGGAGAATACACTCTGCAGGAAACTGCAGGGTCATTAAGCACCAATGGTGGTAACAAGACCATTAATTTCTCCAGGTTTCCTTTATCGAGCCACAGGGTGAGGTGATGCTTAACCCAGCGGGAGGGAAGGGATTTGGAGTGGGATCTGGGGAGCAGGGGACCACAGCTATTTTGTAAGGTCGTGAAACGTGAAAAGCCGGGAGGATTGTGTACTTACTCCCTTGTGTTGGCGCTGCGGATCATTCCCAAGGACAGCACGTCTGCGGACCGCGATGTGGAAAGAGCGTTGACTCTGGAGTCTTAGACCTGCCTGTGAATCCCATTTCCACCATCACTAGCAGTGAGACCACAGGGAAGTTATTTCATCTCTCATTGCCTCAGTTTCCTCATCCAAAACAGAATCACGAGTTGCTGTGAGAGAAAAATTAGAGGTACAGGAGAAAGCACGTTGAGAACATTTTTTCAACCTAAAAGTCCTGGAATGCAATGGAAAAGATTATCTTATTATGATTGTAGCAATTTAAACTTGTGTCTTTTCTCGCTTCCTTGTGTTAACCTTCCCTTTCTCCTCCATTTGTGTGCTTGCAATAAGTAGAGATGTATGAGCTACTGCTAGCATGCTTTGGCTAAAATCTATTGCAAAATTCACAAAGCAAAGAGCAGGTGCAATGTGATCTTCAGGATAAGTTATTTCATTAGAATGCATTTCTGAATGTGAAAAATCAATATCACTTCAGAGGAAATTTCTGGAATAACTGAATATACCCACATATCACCATATTGATTTGAATGGAATGTCTGAAATAATTTTAGCTCTGATTTTTTTAAGCACCTAGGACAAAAGGGAGATTCTGTAAGTTACATAGATGACTATGTCAGACAGTGGTGATGTTTCTTTTTCAGGACAAATCTTGAGTGTGGACATAACTCTTGAGAAGTTTTTACAAGGGTCCAGGCACCAGACCATGGTTTATAAGACACTCTACCTGCCTTTCTGGCTCATCTCCTGTCTTTCCCACTTTGGTCTCTCTGTTCTCGGTTTCTGTCTGTCCATCAAGCCATGAAAACTATCTCACTGCCATTGCAAAATTGGTTCCCTCTGTTTAGAATGCTCTCTCCCTCAACTTCACCTCGTTAATCTCTACTTACTTTTCAGAACTCACCTCAGATAACATTTTCTCAAAGTGAGTGTCCAAGCCCGTGGGCTGCTCCTGCTTAGCTCCTCATAGCACATTTCCCTCAAAACCTGTCTCAGTTTGTGATTAAATACTTTGTCATGGTTTATTTTCTACCTTGTCCTCATTTGAGCTCTCTTAGAAGGAGGTCATTTTTTTTTTTTTATGGTCACCAGCAATTCCATGTACCTACTAAAAGATCTGGCAGACAGTAGGTGCTAAAAAACAACTGGAATAAAAACAATTACTAAATAAATGAATACACGAGTTCTCTATAACAACACAGCTTCTCAAATACAAGCCTTTGGACCAGAGGGGCCTGATGTTGCTCTTCTACATCCTGCCAGAGAGAATGATCTAGACATGGTTTGCAATAGACTTAGCTCAGAGAGAAAACGTTGATCAGGAAGAGTGCTCCGCTATTATCTTTCCCTATCAACCCATTTGTATGTGTGGGTGGAGGGGATAAAGTCCAAACTGTTCATGACATGCAAAGTGCTCCATGATGTGGCTTTGGGGTCTTCTTCCTCCATTTTCCATTCACAGCCTGTGCTCCTACCATGCAGATCTGCTGAACATGCTATGCCAATTCCAGCTTCTGTGCCTTCCTCCTGCCTTTTGAATGCTTTTCCCTAGTGGGAAAGTATGTAACATAAGGTCAAGAGCTCTAGCTTTAGAGTCAGGGAGATGTGGATCTGAATCTTGGTTCTAATAGTTGGTAGATCTTGGACTTCTTAGGGCTCAGTTTCCTCATTTTAAAAAAAAGTTAGTGCAATATCTACCTCATACAGCTGTTGTAATTATTAAATTTGCAAATGTATGTAAAAGGTTTATTGCTTTGAGTGGCACATAAGTGCTCATTAAGTAGTGGTGATATTGTTACATCTTACTGGAAAACTCTTCTCATTTGGAGTCTAGTCAAAGGTCATTTGAAGCCTCTTCCAATTCTCCTAGACAGGCTAAGGGGCAGCTTACCCACTGCACCTTATGTTCACCTCTGTTATACTAAATATTCTATCATTCTCTAATTTTTTGTACATCTATTTTTCCAACTAACTGTAATGTTCTTAGAGACATGGTCCAAATATTCCTTGAATGTGTTTTCAGCACCGAGGACAATACCAGATATAGTAAAGGCCAGATAACTATCTTTCAATGAATAAATAAATGAATTAGTTCTAAACCAGTTAAAAAAAATATATTCGATAGAGCAAGAAAAATTGGACCAGACATTTTGATTGGCTCTTTAATTTGCTCACATGTCTTGTGTATATGTCAATCATATTTAGTCTTTCTGCTGAAAGGTCTGCACGCTATTGGCAACCCTGGTCTTTAAGAAAACATTATGCAATGACTAAATGGTGGCTTTATTTCATTCTCTTCACTATTTGCATTGGAAAACAGCTACTTCACACATTTACCAATGAGTTTTTATAAGGTAGGGTTTTTTTGTTGTTAGCCTCAGGTTCTCAGCATGTGATACTACAATGTTTTTGCTCCAGATTTGCAAGTGCAGTGGTGTTAGTTCTCAAATCGGTTTGTCACATGGAAAATGTTCTACAACAAAGAGGATTAATTGTTTTTCTCATGTAAATGTTTTGAAATGGAAGGAGGCCCATCTCTTATTGGATTCTGGTGGGCTATAACTCTCCCCCTAGCCTCACTTCCTAGCAAACCCTGACTTGTACCCTATACTGCATCAGAACTAGTCAGCCTACAGTTTCCCACATTGTTTCATGCTCCTGTACTTTTGTCCAAGCTGCTTGCTCAAGATGCCTGGAGTGTCTCCCAAGAATCCATTCAGGGGTCACTTTCCTTAGGAGGCCTTCCTTGAATGGCCTAATATGGCTCAGTTTCCTCCCCTTACTGCTCCTCAATCCTGTCCTTTGCTTTGATGGGGATGTGTATGTTGAGGGTGGGCAGTTCAACCTAATGTTAAAAAAATACTTTTTGGAGTTAGACAGCCTGAGACTGAATTTGAGTTCCACTACTAACTAGCCTTGTGATCTTGGGCAAGTTACTAACTCTCTCTTCAGAGATTTTATTTTCTTCCATGAAATGAGGCATCTTTGCAGGGCAGATGTGAATATTAACAAGGAACTCTTATGCACCACATTAAAAGAATCTATTTAGGTATTTACCTCTCCTACAGGACCCAGAGTGACAAACTCTTCCAGGTTGCCTGGCACTGAGGGGATTCCCAGAATGTGGGATGTCCAGCATTAAAACCAGGGCAGTCACAGGTAAATAAGGATGGCTGGTCACATTCACCTTCCCTAGATCATAAATAACCTGAAGGTAGGAACTCTGACTTCTAATCTTTATCTTCCCACTGCTGAGCACATGGCGTTTTAAGCAGCAACCTGCAGTGGTAGGAGGTCAATGGCCATGTATCACCCAGGGAACTTTCTCACCTTTTCCAATCATGCATATGTTTTCCTGTCCTGAAGATTCCTCCACACCTCCACCCCAACCTCCATCCCTACCACATTTGAAAACCAATATATCAGTTGGCTATTGCTGCATAACAAACCATTCTAAAACTTAGTGGAGCAGATGGTCAATTAACTCATGAGTCTATAAGTTAGCTGGGGAGCTTGACTTATCTAGGATGGCTTTCTTAATGTATCTGCAGGGTTAGTTTGCAAGTCAGATGAGTTTTCTAATCTTGGCTGGGCTCCCAAACATGATTGTGGCCCCAGCTAGAATGAATTGGCTTCTCAGCTCTGCTTTCTGTGCCCCTCATCCCCCAGTAAACTGGTCTAGGCTTGTTCTCATGCTGGAGGCAGGGGGCCGAGGGATAACAGAAGTGTGTGAGGCCCCTAGAGCCAAGGCTGGGAGCTGGCTCACCATCACTGCTATTGCATTCTTTTGGCCAATTAAAGGCACATGGCCAGCCCAGATTTAAGGGGAAGAGAAATAGATGCCACTGTTTGAGCTGCAGAGTCACATAGCAAAGGGCATAACTACATGGACCAGTGTAAGGATTGTGGCCAATTTTAAAAGCTATCACAACTACTAACCTGACACAAAGCTGATGCTCAATAAATGTTTAAACTCAAAGCGACTTTCTAAGTCACGTAATTGTCCAGTACCTGCTATATATCTGAAAGTATGCTCCTCACTACTCTTAAAAAAACAGCAAGATCTGGGAGGTGTGGTGTCTAGAAATCGAGGGAAGTTTGTACAGCAGGTAGGTTTGCAGGAGGTTATAACATAGTGTTATTACAATGCTAAAGTATTGTTGCTGGGAAGGGATATATGCAAATAAAGCCCTAAATGGGGGGTGGGAAAACCCTCAGCTGGCCAATTTAAGAAAGTTTTACAAGTTGACCTCAGAAAGGAACATGAGCTTGACATTGACAATCTGGGGTCCTCCTGAATTGGAGACAGATTGGGTGTCTGCCTTAGAGAAGAAGAAAGCATCAAAGAGGGCTCCAGGGCATTAAGGGCAGGGATGCTTCTTACAACTATGTGCATATAGCCTTGGTATTTTCAGGTACATCCACCAACCGGTGTTCATCATGTTTGCTGGCACATTCATTATTCAATTAAAGAATTTTAATGACAACTTTGGGGAAATCATATGGTTGGGCCCCAATCGCTGGTGAAGTGGAAAACAGTGAAAACAAAAGCACTAGGCTAAAGAGGAGCCATTTAATTTGATATTTTTTAGTTCAATGAGCTAAACAGCTGAATTAATTAAAACCTACTTTAGGGCCACTTTATATACTTAGCCAGCACAAACAGGATCTCAAGGCCTCGAGGGGCTGTGGGTGAGAAGACCTTAAACAGTAGCAGCAAGCTGCGGTTTTAGAAATGCATGTTGTTTGAAAATCGCACACTCTTGCAGAGGAACACTGGGGTTTATTGTGGGTGTGGGAATAAGCAAGGTCATAGCTGTAGAGTAAAAAGACCTGGGAGGGTGGTGATTTGGGGGTGGGGGATGAATTAAACTCAGGCAATCTTTGCAGAACACAAAAGTACTATTACTAGACCATAGCCTGCAAGAGAAAAAAAAATAAAGCTCGCCTAAGCAAGTTGTCCAAAAGGAATCTAACTCAGATGGAAGTCTGTCTGTGGGCTGTGGATTCAGGATTCCAGGGTGTGCTGCTGGGCTGTGGAGTGGCGAACCTGGGATTCAGGCCAGGCAGGTTCCTGCATAATCCTGCTTATTGCATGACTTTGGGCAAGTCACTTCAGCCACTTTGGTCCCGGTCACCTCATCAGGGAAATGGATAATATTATCACAACAGCACCTCTAAGATAAGGCCAATAGCTGACAAATACTATTGCATACATAGCACAAGCTGATGTTAGTTGTTGATATTATCATGGTGAACCTTATAATCTCATGATTCACAGGAACCCTTGGTACTCAGTTGGAATTGTGTCATTGATGATGGCTTGTGTCTACCTTCTCCATGTTTATAGGCACTTTTTGTAGGCAGGTGTAGCAGATATGCTGTTGGTGACCCACTGATACTCACTGTTCTGCTGAAGGCTTCTTGATGTATCTACCTGCAAATACAGCAGGCTGGAAGTACATACGTGGGACTTAATGTCCCCCAGGAACAGCCCTTAAACAGCTACAAAGGGGAGTTGGTGAATACATACCCCAGCTTCTTCCCGCATTGAGTGGGGCAACTCTGCAGTGATTTTAATTCTCTCTTAGTGTTCCCAGTGGGATTGAGCTGCAGTTGACTCACTACATAGACAACATGTGTGTGTTCACCCCTGGTGTTGGCTGTATGCCCTGCCCTGCCTCACTTCTCTCCCCTACTGGTGCTTCTGGGAACTGCCTCCCAAATAAGCCACTTGCATTAAAATCTTTGTGCCGTAAGACAGTAGGGACTATGTCTGATTCATTTCTGAAGAGCAGCACTTTAATTGTGAAGGCATAGATAAATGTTTGCTACAGGAAGTTTGAATTTTTTTTTAAAGCCAGTCAGATTTAGCAGTGGGGGGTGGGGGGGTAGAATACCAACTGTAGTGACAATAATGTTAGTAAGTTCTGATAACTCAATACCATCAGACTGGCTGGGAGTTTGAATTTAAGTTCTACCCTCTGAGGCTCTAACAAGTAAGTTGATTCTGTTCTTCTCATGACAATTCTTTGTGCCAACCTATATTTCATTCAATTCCCTCCCAACCAACCTTTGCCTTGCCAAATCTTATCTTCTCCAAAAGCTGCATTTCCAATTCTTTTAAACTTTTCTCTCATGACTTGGTTTCAGGTTTTCTCCCTATCCTAGATTCTGTGTTTATCTAGACATAATCAAATGGTGGCAGATCAAAACAGAGCCTAGTAATGAACTTGATGTTTGCTCTGTGGCCAGGTATTGTGGTAATTGTTGCAGGCAATGTCCTAAATCCTCAGTTTGATCAGATACATGGCTATGTTCTACAGCTTCTGGGTAAAGCCTTGAGTCTTTCTCAAATACCTTGTATATGTTTATGCCCTTTGACCTCAAGATGTAAAATTCATTCAGTTATTTGTTCAATAAACATTCACCAGGTCTACCATATGGACAGGCTTTGGGTTAGGCTCTGGGCTTATAAAATTTGAGACAAATGCCTGCATTTGAAAAGCTCAATGTAGTCATCCAGGAAGCATAGTAGACACATAATACATCATTTTAGACTGAAAGAGTCATGCAAAAAGATCATTATGGTGCAATATGATCAATGCTATGTGACATAGCAGTAATTCTCATAGTGTGGTCCTTGGACATGAATCACATCACCTAAAACTTGGAAATGTAGACCCCATCCCTTCAGACCTATGTAATCAGAAACTCAGGGGCTGGGGCCAGCAGTCAGTATTTTAACTAGTCCTCTAGTGATTCTGATGCTCTCTGGAGTTTGAGAACCATTGTGACAGGGAGAAGTAGAGGGTTCTATGGCAGAAGAGAGAAGATTCTGGCTGTATCTAAGTGTGTGTTTATACATGAGTGTAGAGACAGTTGGGTGTCTATGGGAAGAGAAATCAAGGAAGGCTTCCTGGAGTAGGAAACCCTGAAGTAACACTTGAAGGGGTAGTATGAGAGTGTTGGCTGTATCTGGGCTTGGTGCAAACCCATCTCAAGGTGACCTAAATAATTTAAAGCCCAGATATTCCTAATGGTGAGTCAAAAACAGAGTTTCATCACAATTGTGTCTTGATTAAAGACAAATCATTACTTGACAGTTTATAATCACAGAATGGGAAATTTCAGGAACACATTTTGACATGATAGAAAAACCTTGTTTTAGCAAAGGATCCCCCGGGGTTTCTCCTAAACAATTTTGCCCTTCCTTCTTCCCTTTCTCTCCTATGGTGATTTTAAACCTTTTAAGGGCAGGACCTTCCTAACTTGATTTTCCCTTCTTAAATCTTCAAGACCCCAGCCCAATGCCCATTGCGTAGTGTTCAAGGAGTATTTCTCAATTTGATTTCCCAGGAACAAGTGGTGCAAAGCAGGTTGTCCATGCTCCATTCTTTTGGCCCACATGCTACTAAGCAATTGGTTTAAGTGATTGTAAATGAAAATGGCTAAATTGAACAGAACAGATGTTTTCCTGTTGCAGAGACATAACCTACCTGTGGGAATGATTTCGAGGTGTGGGTGTTGCATGTTGTTCTTTGTGGTCCCTAGAGTCTAAATTACACATATTGACAAAGCAACCCTATAGTGCAGGTGATTTTTATTGTTACAGAATAATATAGAGTATAATTAGCATGTACAAATGATAGTAATTCTTAATGCCCGTGTAATGCTTTCTATTTTACAAATCTCATTCACATCCATTAACTCACCTGATCCTTACAACTTTGTGAAGGAGGCATTGGCAGGTGTTGTTAGAATCTTTCTCAGGCGGGGGACCTATGGTGGAACCAGTGTATGTAGCACCACTTCTGCTGTGCTCTGTTGGTCAAAGCAGTCACAGGTGAGCCCACCTTCAAGAGGAGGGAAAATAAATCTCACCTCTCAATGGGAGATGGCAAAGAAGTTGCACCATCTTTAATCTACTACAGTGACCTTGGTATTCAACATTTCTGAGCCTTGTTTCATCTGTAAAATGAAGATAATACATCGTAAGCTTTGTAGTAGGAGCTCAGATAGTGGCAATTATAATAATCTCCAACCAGTAGGAAAATCAATGGATTTATTTTAAGAAGGGAATAACTGGCCATAGTTTGTGGCTATATGGAAAGACATTCAATAAAGGAAAGAAGGCAAGTATTAAGTAAGAACTTTGTTGTGGAGTCTTAAACACTATCATCTAATTTCCAGGTTGGTTGTCTTCCTTAAAGCTAACTCTTATAAAGTGTTTTCTATATGCCAAACACCGTTTTAGGTTTTTACACTTATTAACTAGTTTAATCCTCACAACCGCCCTGTGAGGTTTGTGGGATTGTTATTGTTTCCATTTCACTGTTGAATAAACTGAGGCACAGAGTGGTTAAAGAGTTTGCTTGAGTGAATGGCAGAAGCAGCATCTGACATGTTTGTCCACATGCTGTGCTTGTCACATTCTCATACTCAGCTACCTATCAAAAGTCATTCCTCCCATTGCAGGACAGGAGTACTTACCTTGAAGAGAAACAATTAAATCACAATTTGTCCCAGATTTTTAAATATAGTAAGTTTGGACTTCCCAATAAAATGCTGAGAAATTTTAAAAAATTGAGAAACTTGAAAGAAGGCAGATCAGATATCTGTTCAAGGTCCTCATGGAATTCTGCCAGGAGCCCTTCAATGCTTGCTATGAGGTAATTGCCTCTTTCTTAAAAACCTCCCCTGGGACCCGAGCTACCAGTGGGCACAGAATATTGAGCAGTCCTCTCTCTGAGACTTGGGGTTTTTCATCTACTTTTAAGTATACATTTGTCAACTTCCAGAATTATAGACATCCTTGACAGTGTTTCCTAATATTTTCTCCCCATGGGGTGAGGCAATTGAATTATTCATAGTTTCTGTTTATGGACCTTTGGTATTCAGCAAAGCACAGGCAAAAACTTGGAAAGATCAACATGTTCAGAGAATCAGTATTCTAAAAGGGCATTTGTCAAGTGGCATTTCTAGTTTGCTGCCTGAACCTTAAGAATAGATAACTGAATTAATTAATGAAAAAATAGAATACATCATTCAGAGGTAGTGATCGGTACTAATGAAGTCCATGCATCTAATAAAGATGAAACCAAGTCAATTGGAAAACAAATTGCCAAAATTCTAAATTATGGCTCTGCTGGTAGTTGTTTGAGTTGGGCTAATTATTAGCTAATTTTAACAGACCTCATATTTTGGTTGCACCTCCGAGCAAGTGAATATAGTGGTGGATTGTGGTCTTCTAGATGAAATGCCAAATTTGCTGAAAGGGAAGTACATTTCATTTGCTCATTGCCAGTGAAGAACCTACTAATCAATGCAAAATGATGCAGGGAAAAAATACAGTCAGTTGAACTATGTTTGGAGATATGACCATGTTTTCACTACTATAGTCAGAATTTTACCTTACCTGAGCCATCTATGTAGTCACTGTGATTTGGTAAGAATGGAGGCATAGTAACCTCCATCATGGTCTCCTCACCTTCAAATTTACCTTCTGTGAAATGAGGCAGATGTCATGGGCAATAAAGGTTCTTAGATAAGAAATCTGCATGAAAGGAGGAGTAATTTCCCAAAGGCAAAACAGGTAGCTAAACTAGTGAACAAAAAGGCAATAATATATTAGATTTGGAGAGGACAACTTAGGAGGTAAGTGGGTGGGCAAAGGAATGACATGGATGTTAGAAGTGGGTTCTAGTTGCAATTCTGCTAATATTTATCTGGGTGACCTTGGGCAAGTTCATTAGGGAGTTGGTTGGACTTGACAGTCTTTAAGGGACTTTTCATCTGTCTAACACCATCACTTTGAGTCTCAACAACAGTTGGAGTCCATGAGAGACGGTTATTCAGCCACTCCTTGCATACAGATGTGGCAGAAGGTGCTGTTGCTCACCCACCAGTATCTGTGGTCTTCTTTGTCTCCAGGCACAGCCAGACTTAATTTCTCAGTCTCTCCTTATGAGCCCGTGAGTTTGAGTTCTGACCAATAGAATATGAAAAGAAATGACGTACAGCTTCTAGGCCTGGCTCATAGAAGAATCTCAACTTCAACCCTTGAGCTCCTTATCCATCATTTGGCTAAATGAAAAGCACTCCGAGGGCTTAGAAGATGGCAGTGCCATAAGATGAAGGGAACCTGGGTCCCTGGGTGACTCGATGGAGCAGAGTTTTCCTTATTGCACCGCCTTCCATCGTATTATGACATGAGCAATAAAGAACATTTTGTGCTGTGAAACCTGAAAATTCAAGAGTGTGTGTTATTGCAATCAATCTACCTTGATGTAAAGAGGTGAGAAACTCAGAACTTTAAAAGACAACTCTAATTACTGGTATGTTCCTTCCTAATTACAATATTATTATTTCCTATTAAATTATAAGGTTTACAACAAAGTATTAGTTGTAGTAGTGTTAGCATTATAGTAAATACTGAAATGACATGTGTCAGTTATTGTTCTAAAAACTAGACACAAATTAGCTAATTTAATCTTCAGAACAACTCTACAAGCTGTTCTGTGTACTATACTGGTGTGGTGACTGGGCCAGCCATTTTTTGAATGAAGAAAGGAATGAATATTACATGATTGAGAATTGAACCCATGGCTTCTGACCCTGCACCCTAATACTCTTTCCACTAGGTATCTCCAGAGCCTGAATAGTATTCCTTACACAGTATGTGAAGATTAATTTAAAAAGAGATTGTTGTTTGTTGTAGAAAGTAGCTTTGAGTTCCTCAAGGGAACTGCTGCTTTGAGGTTGGGATAGCTCCCTCTCCTCTGGCTTTCTTTCCCCTGGATGTAGTTTTCCCCACTTCTTGATTAACTCTGTCAGAAAGAATAGGGGATTCAGTGGAGTGATGGCATTGCTGATTAGTCCTGTCTACTGTATATGAAGCTGACAGGTCCTTCTTTGAAGAGTCGCTCCATGGCTGGTAGTATTGGAACTGAAAATATGCAGTGTGAACTACTGTACTTGGGAGTCTCAATCAAACTTGTGATGATGAAACTAGATTTACATTTACAACTTTCAAGTACAAAGCAGTGTTAATGCACTCATGTTGAACTAACATTATGCCTGGGGTTTAATTTCCAAGTGAGATTTTCCCAGACAATTATTTTCTCAGAAGCTGTTAAATAGAAATTAAGGAAGAGGTAGAGCTTAAATGTAGTTTTGAATTTTGCTAGGACCTTGATCATCATGCCTTTTTTGTATGTGCCTATCTCTGTCCTTGAGACATAGATAATTCTACTGAATGTTTATTCCTTCTAAGACCATGAAGAGAAAGTGGACATCTCAGTTTCTGTTTGTGACCAGCTCTTATCTAGTTAGCTTTCTGCACCTCTGTTATATCCATCTTCTACTCCATTTCAGTGATTGATGTCTGGGCTTTCAATATATCTTGTCAGGGTTTTTATTGTGGCTTACTATTATAATAAAACTTCTCACTCATGTTGTAGGCTAGTGTAAGTTGTGGGGGAGGGGTTTCTGCTCCATATAGTCATTCAGGGAACCAGGTTCCTTCTGTCGTGTGACTCCACCATCATCCAGCAGCATCTCCTCTGCATAGAGCTAGAACATGAGGAATAGAGAGTGTGAGAATCTCAAGGGAGGTTTTCAGGGACCAGACCTGAAAGTAACCTGCATCATTCCCACCCTCATTTCATTAAGATTAAGTCAAATGGGCTTCACCTAAAGGGAGGCTGGGAAGTGTTGTTTAGCCGTGTGCTCAGGAGGAAAAAGAAACTTCTTTGCCGTACCTGGAATATTGTAGTACCTTCCATATTAACTGATCTCTTAGCTTACCTACAGTATGGCCACACTGTCATACAAGGTATCTAAAGTGCATTTGTCATCTTGCTAATTCAGTAGTTGCTCAGTAATTGCAAGAGAAAACCCAAATTATGTAGCAGAAGCCTTCTTGATCTTGCCCTGCTTTTCCAGCCTGTCTTCTCCTAGGGCCCTTCCTCACACCTAGTGCTCCAACTTCTCTAAATTTCTATGGTTCCAGAACACACAAGACTGCTTTTTCACCTCCTGGATTCACACATGCTACTTCCTATGCTAGAAATATCCTTCCCAGCTATCATTCCCCTCTGATGGTTCAATAGCTATGTATATCTTTTAAGATTTAGCTCAGTTCCTTTGTGAAGCCCTTTGCAATACTCACTGACCCCAGGTAGAGGTAACCACTTGTGCCTTTGTTCTTCCCCTTTGCCCAGACCCCTGCGAAGAGCATAGTACAATTTTGAGATTGCATAATTCTGAAGAATAAAGGAGTCAGATAGTTTCTGGGTTTAAATTTGGATCTCAGTTTTTACTACATGCAAGCTCTAGAGCTTGAGTAAGTCACTGAACATTTCTAAGCTTTAGTGTGCTCCTGTTAATAGAGATAGCAGTAGTACTTAACTGTTATGCCTAGTGTGAAATTTGAATGAAATAATATGGGTTAGTGCTTGGCACATAATACATACTTACTAAATATTAACTCTTAATATTGCTGTGTTTTCACATATCTGTCATGCTTTATAGACTCTAAGTGACTTGAACACAGGTACTGCCTCTTCCTACTCATCTTTGATATATTCCAGCTCTGAATAATAAGCTTAGAAAATATTGTTGAATACACAAATGAATTAATGACTGAGTTATGTTAGTGTTCCATAAAAATTACCTTTATTTTTTAGGGAAGAAAATCTCCCCATAAAACTCTCAGTGAAATAACAGCTGTGTTCTTTGTCCCATATCTGTTCTCACCTCCTCCTCCCTTTTTCCTCAATACTTTTCTCTTCCTATGGTTTTCACTAGACCTCTGTCCCTTCAGAACACTCTCCATTCTTTTTGTCTTTTTGTCTTTATGCCTCTGTGTCTTTGCACTCATTTGGCCCATTCCCCGAATTCCATCCCTCTGCTTTTGATATCAACTTCTGCTTGTCTTCAAGCCAATTATTTTTCTTCTGGAGCTTGTCTTTATTTCCTACACCAAAGTATCTTTTGTTGTTTTAATTTTATAGGTTCAACATATACAATAGCCACCATGCTTTGGGTACTTACCATATGCTAGGCAGCAAGGTAAGCAGCGATGATCTCTCTCTCTCTCTCTCTCTCTCTCTCTCTTCTGTCACCCTGTAACTTTCTCCTTTACATTACAACGATTTATGCTCCTGTCTTATCTCTCCTACTAGAAAGTGGGCTCCTTGAAACAGAAGTTAGGTGTGAATCTGAATAGTGTTCTCTCTGATGCCTTATACTTACTGTATTCAATAGCTGAAGGAAAGATAAAGACACAGAAACAACTACACCATTCCCTCTTGATCCTAGAGAAGGACCAAGAGACTAGTATGGAGCACAGATTGAACAGTATTCTAAGTCATGTTTGGACCATGGTCAGGACAGTATTTAGATTTACTACTACCTTCTTATTCCATTCAGCCCCAATCATATACTTAAGGCTCTGCTGGCAGCAACACCATGGCTAGATTGACACCATGGCAAATTAAGATGGGTGAATGGAGTCAGAATTATTCAACTTAAAAGATAAAAGTTTGCAAGAAGAAGATATGCAGAACCTAGTGGCCTTTCAGCACAGGAAGGGTTAGTCAACAGTCAGAAATAGAGTGGATTTAGGTTAGAAATAAGAGTTTCTTTCATATGACCACATTTTGACTTATTGAGGAATCTTTTACCATGTAGATCTTAGAATAAATATTAATCTTCCCTGAACTATTAAAGCATGCTCATACCCAGAGGCTGAAGACAGTACTAGTTAAATTTTAAAAATTGAGAACAAGATATTTTTATTACTCAAATTTTTTTGTGGGATTGGGAACTAACATTTATTGAGCTAGGTATGGGCTGTTGCTTTTACACAGATTATCTCATTTAGTGTTCAAAATAAGTATGTTCATGATAACATTAAAATCACATGGATCAACAGTGCTGGAGTCAGCATTTGAACTCAGGCCCTATTTGAATACAAAGTCACTGCTGTTTCAGTGTATGTACTTCCCTTAATTGGAATTCTCTTTTTCAGTCTGGGAAGTAAATTAAAATAAAAAAAACATATTCTTCAGATACCCCAGTTTAATGATTATGGTGAAATATTTAATAAAGTTACAGATTTGGATAGAGATATGTAGATGGGACTAATCTCCCACTTCTGCTATGGTAGTGAATTCTTTATCAAACTCTTTTCTCTTTTCCTTGTTGTTCATTTACTGTAGTGGTTGGAAGCAGACTCCTTGGGTTTCGTTCTTGGGTCACTGGTTATGTGCCTTTGGCTGAGTTACTTTATCTCTTTGTAACTCAGTTTTCTCATTTGTAAACAAAGTTAGTGATAGTACTTGCCTCATAGGTTGCTGTGTGCATTAAGAAAGATGAAATGCTTAAAATAGTGCTGCACATAGTAGATGAGTAATGTCTTAGTCCGTTTATGTTGCTATAAAGGGATAGCGGAGGCTGGGTAATTTATAAAGAGAAGAGGTTTTTTTGGCTCACTGTTCAGAAGGCTGCACAAGAAGCAAGAGACTGGCATCTGCACCTGGTGAGGGCAGCAGGCTGCTTCCACTCGTGACAGAGGGGAAGGAGAGCCAGCATGTGCAGAGATCACATGGAGGCAGAGGAAGCAAGGGGAAGGGGAGGTGCCAGGCCCTTTCTAACAAGCAGCTCTCTCTCAGAAACTAATAGAACAGGAATTCACTCCCCTGCTGCTCCTCCTGTATTCATGAAGGATCCTCTCCTATGACCCAAGCACCTCTCATCAGGCCCCACCTCCAACAAATGGGGATCAGATTTCAACATGACATGCCATGGGGACAAACAAACCATATCCAAACTGTAACAAATAACAAATATTAGCTATTTTTTTAAATTAATTATGGTAAAATGCAAATAACATCAAATTTACCATCTTAACCATTTTTAAGTGTACAGTTCAGTGACATTAAGTACATTCACATGGTTTTGCCACCATCACCACCATCCATCCACAGAAGCCTTTTCATCTTGTAAAACTGAAACTCTGTACCTAGTAAAAAACACCTCCTCACTCCTAGTTCCAGCCCCAGACAGCCACCTTTCTGTCTTCTTTCTGCCTCTGTCTCTGAGTTTGACTACTCTAGGTAACTTGTATAAATGGAATCATATAGTATTTTTCCTTAGCTATTGAGTTTTTGGAGTCAGATCTAAGTGCAATCTTCTCAACTTTCTAACTGTGTATCTTTAAAAAGGAAACTTCCCTTTAGGTGCCTGAGGTCCTTTATCTGTAATATGAGAATGGTAATACTCCCTTTCAGTTGGTTTTGAAAAGCAAAGATGATGTTAGGCATGAAAATACTTTGTATTCTCCACAGTGTTATTTTTTTACCGGTGCTCACATATTAATTTATTTATTCCTCTGTCCATCAAAGCATCCATTCATTTAATAAACTTTAATGAGTTCCTTCTGTGTGCCAGTCTCTGTGCTAGGAGCCTGGAAGATATAAAGATACAGACTCTGCTCTCAAGACTTCACAGATGAGTTAGGAAGCAAAAAGGGACCCAGCCCTGCAACAGCCAGTGGGTGTGGTAGAGGCTACATGGACAGAACTAAATTCTCATTCTGCTGGTGGTTCAAAGGCAGGGATGAACTTTCCATAGGAGCAGCCCTTAGCTGTGAAACACAGTGCTGGCGGGAGGCCTGGGTGGACTCCAGAAAACCTGTGTCCCGAGCCTCACTGTTAGCTGGCCCAAGTGACCTTGAACAGCCCTGTTCCCCTTTCTGGTCCTCAGGAAATGGTTTTCCAGTTGGGTTCTATGATGTGCTAGAATTTGGTGGTCTAGGATTCTTTCCTTCACCACTCTACTGTCATCTGTTTTCATTACTGGGACTCTGAAATAAAGAAAAAATATTCTATTTGAAAAGTTTGCAACTAGTAGTGTACCCTTAGGCAAGGGACCTAATTTTTCTAAACCTCAGTTTCCTCATGTGTGAAATGGGAATAAAAGCAGTATGTACCTTAAGAAAGTTCTTGTGAGGACTAAATGTACTTATAGTAAATACTTAGCCAAAACATTAGTTAATATTATTATCGTCATTATTGGGAAAACTTGGGATGAGAGCATCTCTCAGTCCTTTCCTGCGATGTCCTGGGTTTTGCACTGTCCTCCCTGTGTCCTGTGTATCTGTCTACTTTTCAACATAAGCCTCCTTGATTTCTTTTTAACATTTTGTATGTACTTAGTCCTTGGACCTTTTGCTTCCCATATTCCTTCCGTGGGCTACTGTTGATAACCTGGGGTGGGGACCGTGAGAGCCCAGTGGGGCTCGGGTGTCCCAGCCTGTGTGCCTTCCTCTCAACCTGTGCAGGAAGTCGACTTTTCCTCCCTCCCCAGTCCCACGGCCTCATCAGCTGGGACACAGTCCTCGGCCTCAGAATAGTCAACTTGCTCAGTAAGTAAACTAATTACACTGGCTGTGCTTCTCTTTTGTTCCGCGATCTTGCTGATTTGCTATTTATAGCATTTCCAAAGATGTTTGCCAGCAGTATCCCTTTTCATCCTGCCTCAAAGATGTGACACTGAGGGTGGAAGCAGCTATAACAAAGCTCCGGAGGCCTCTGCCCCCCAACCACTTTTTGGGTAAGGAGTGAGACATCTTATTTATGTATGTATTTATTTATTTATTTCCCAACAAAGAGACAATGGATGGTAATCAGATCAGGCTCTTTAGGGTTGGAGTGGTTTGTTAATTTAAAAAAAAAAAACAAAAAACAGAAGAAGAATAAAAGACAAGGGGTGGGGGAGAAAGACCATGGCCAACATGCAGACAGTGTATCTACTGACTGAGAGCAGGACACTACTCAGAGTGTAGTCAATCTGACATCACAAACCAGGGCATCCTGGACAGGCCAGACCAGTGCCCAGATGAGAGCAGGGATTGTCAGGGTCAGGAGCACTCAGCAGCCCCTGGAAGCATGCAGTAGAGGTACTGCAGTCAGGGGTTTCTTTCTCTATCCTTGACTCAGTGTGAGAACAACGTGGTTTTCTTTCTTTTATCTGTCATATATTAATATTAGTATGGAAAGAGCAACTGAAATTACAGTCTTTTGCACTAGGCTCACATTTTAGATCCAGTGGCCCTCAGATTGCATAGCACTTGAAAATCATATGCCCAGATGCATAGTACTTGAAAATCATTGACATTCAGGTACGCATATGGGGAACTTGTAAAAATGCTCCATTCTCAGATACTCTAATCCAGTAATATGTCTGGGGTCCCAGAAAGCAGAGCCTGAGGCAAGCGCTTATCTCCTACTACTTTATTAAGGATTAGCATCCCAGAGAAGTACCAGGAGGGCAGAAGGGAATGGTGAAGGAAAAAGGAGCACCAACATGAGGCTGTGTTTTTAGGTGGCTCCTGCATCCTATCAAATGAAACCAGTTCCTCACAAGGCTGTCTTCCGTAGCCTATGGAACTGTGTGTCTCAGGAGGATCAGGGGGAGGAAGGGAGAAGAATTTATCCACTGTCTCCCATTCCCATGGGCCAAAGGCTTGCCCTATGAACTTCCAGATTGAAAATACACAGTGCCAAGTATCAATGGATCCTGCGACTTCTTACACTTCTGCAAGAGGACAAGGACAAGAGACAAAGGCACAGGCCATTGGAGTGACCCAGGTGCTGTCAGGTTGCACTCCTGGGAAGTCAGTAGGGACCTGGGCAGGGCTGGTTGTTATAGGGACGGCTGGGGTGGAACAAGGGGCTGGGTGAAGCCAGTGCATCTTGAATGGACATGGGAGGCATCGGCACAAACACTAAGTGATAGCCATGAGGACAGACTGGGGCTCATACTTTGAGAAACCTTGTCCTAGACCGAATGACCTCAGGAAAACCGCTTGGCTTCTCTGAATGTCAGTTTTGCCATTTGCAAAATGAAAAGAATGACATTTAAACCAACTTTCCTGAAGATAAAATTAAAGAAACCTCATGGAAAAGCTACTTTAATGGCAGCAAGCCATCCAGATCTGCACTGCTAGTTTGCACTGGGAGAACTACAGGATGGCTGGGAATCAAGACATTCTTTTCCTCTTTCAG